TTTTTCACAGGCTGTTATGGAATCCACATGAATAAACTCTTTACCTGGGCTACCCTTATCCATGTATAATATCTGTTTACTTTAAATATTTCAAACACAAAGTTTTAGGCCATAGGTAAATTGTATTATGTCAATTTGTCAGAATGAATGATTATTATCAGATTTGTTACCAGAAAACCCTTGCCTCTTTTAAATTTTAAAAATTTTTAATCTATTTTTTATTAAAATATTAACTAGTATCTTGTATTTTTAGTATTAGTTTCACTCAATTGTGTATCAAAATGTAATGGACAAGTTAAGAGAGTTTGAACAGAATCACCCATCTGGATGTACATTTGTTCCATTTTACCAACCACATACTGGCATTCCGTTATTAGTAGATAGAAGGATAGAAGGATACGTGGCTGGCCCAAAACCCCATTCCCATGCATAAACCTGTCCCACTTTTGTCAAAATGGAAGATGCTGTAAAACAAAATTTTCATAGCCCAGTTCGTTTCTGGAGCTCTTGCTGGTTCTTTTGAAAATTTTGCAATATAGGACGCCCCCTATCTCTGTTATTGTAAAATGTATCGAGAAGGTGAAAACTCTGTTTATTGTAGAACTTTTACGTAAAATATAGTGGAGTAATTTTTTGTTGCCCCACGAAAGAATAGTTTTAAATATACGAACTATGTTTCTCTTAAATAGCTGCATATTATATTTTCTGTATATTTACGAATCATTCTTTCAATTATCTGGCTTTGAGCTCCAAAATATATATCACTCTATATTTAATGTTCATTTACCGTAACTTAAAAGTTTTCATTAAAAATAATTCTTTATTGGTAGACTTGATAATAAAAGAAACAAAATAATTCTACATTAAAAAGTATGGAACCTGATTTTTACAAAAAATAAAAAAAACTTAATAAATTATTTATGTAAAAAAAAAAAAAAAAAAAAAAAATGCTATTTTTTAAATTTTACATTAGTTTTAATCTCATCTGCTAATGATGCTAAAGATGATGCCAACATCAGCAGATGTTCGTCGGAATTTACAGAGTATCGGGAGGTGTCTCAAAAATACAAAATTTTCAGCATTTAGAAACTCAAAGAGGACTAAGGAAAATTTTGTTTACATTGTAAACTGACCCTTTGTATCTCTTCACCAATAACGAAGATACTGTATGATTTCTACCAAAATTGGAAACTCAAGTACATTAATATAGGTTAACCAAATAGAAGCCTTATATGGTGAAGGTACTAAATAGAAATAAGAAAAAAATGTTTTTTTTTTTAAAATAACCCTTTAATTTTACCTGGGATGTTTCTTTAGGAACTTGTATGTATCCAATTAAGCCTGTCGAATCCATTCTGGAGGCTAAATTGACTGTATCGCCCCATATATCAAATACCGGCTTCCTGGCACCAATAACTCCACAAACCAAAGAGCCACAAGCAACTCCTATTCGGAGTCCGAAGTTATTGAAAGAATCCTTATTGATATCATCTAATTTGTCCTTCATACACATAGCATAATCTATCAGAGCGCATAAGTGGTGCACACCCTCAGAGTTTTTGTCAGATGTCTAAAACAATAGTGTGTTCTATTATTGTATTAACAAGTAGTGACCAAGACAAAGTAGTGACCAAGACAAAAAATCCTCATTACTAAATTCAAGCCTTATTCAAATCCCATATTCGAATTTTTTTAATGTCAGGTTGGATTTTTTTATCACTAACCTATAGTATTTACTGCAACTAGTATTTAATTATTATGTAATTAGTTACCTGATGTGTAGGATTCAAACCCGATGCGGCCATATAAGTTGCCGTTGCACTAACAGTCTTTATTTTCTCTATACAGTTAAATCTCTCATCATCTAGAAGTTCATCAAAATCCGCTAAAATTAATCATATTTAAATTAACATCACCGTACCAAAACATATATTGTTTGTTAGGTTATGATAACTTATGATGCCTTACCTATAATCTCATTCAGCAGTCTTATACATTCGACGCCTTTGTTGATTTTTTCCGAATAAAAATCGGTAAAGTTAGGAATCGTAGCAAACAGTACTCCAACTTCCTCTCTATACTGGGAGAATAATTCCTGGAAATATTAAACCAATAAATTTCAACGTTAGTACTACAACAGTACTACAACTTATTAGATTCTAGCGTATTCGAACTTAGAGTAAGATGCCTCAAACTACTCAAACTAGCAAGGACTATTGAATATGCGGTATACCATGATATCATTTTCTGGCAATTTTTCATAGAAATTTCTCAACGACGTTGAGATAAACTAAGTTTGATAGACTAGGAATATTTTAATTCTTTCCTTTTATCTTTTTTGCAACCGCCTCAATATCACAAATTTCTGTGACCGCATGCCACATGCGAAAACATCCGCTTTGCTCGTAGCTTCTGCTCTAAAAGGAGAACCTCGTGTCAACTTGACGAAACATCCGCGTGCTGGTCTCAAGAATTGACCGAATTCAAGAAGAAGGCGAACAAAACAAGAACAATATTAGCTTTCATTATGTCCAAAATAAGCGGAATAGATAATGGATAGCACGGAAGACATGCGGACATTCAAAAAATTTTCGGAAATCTAAAATTTGAATTTTTTTTAATTGTTTATTCACTGAACAAAGTTCTCGCCAGAACCTAGAACCTGACTTCATACATCAAAATCTCCTCGTATCTAAGAACGTTCTTAATGGAGATTTCAATGTAATCAGTAATTTCTTAAAAAATGGATTTTTAAAGTGTTACTAACACCATCATCAGCTTATTTAGTTTTTAGAAAGGCGCATTACTTGGTATATATTAGCTATAACTTCATGCCAACCTGCTCTTTGTCTATTCGACAATTGAATTGGCACCTGTTGTAGCCTACACTATGAAGTAAACCACCAGCTCATCTCCGTCGATCAAGATGTCTCTGAACAGAGTTCACGCAGCCAGGACAGTGCTTCTCGGCATTCCATCACAGTTTTCGATCTCACTGGTTGCATGGTGATGCTTCTTAATGGTGTAAACCTCTGCTTGTAGAACATTACAGCCATACGATAGCCTTAAAGATCGTCGGATGTCTAGTTCCTCTGAGAAGATGCCTATACCTGTGCCTCCTGAAGTTGCGGAAGCATCTGTATAGACTGCTAACTCTTGAGTGTTCATTACTCGGTTGCTTTTCCATTCTTTCCTTGTCGGGATGCGAATCCTTACCTTTTCTCCAAAATCATGTTTGGAGAACATATAGTCCGTTTTCTGGTCTAGCAGATGTGGACTCGTGTTCACCATGATTTTCCCTATCACTGGCAATATCCTCAAGTGACCGTAGTTGGTCTGGTTCCACAGATTTAATTCCCTTAATCTTAGGGCACCCTTAGCGGCCAGATCCTTTATGAGCCAGTCGATTGATTGTAGGTCCAGAGTTGCTTCTAGCGCAGCTTGCGCTGTGTTGTTCCTTGCTCCAGTTATACATAGAGCTGCTAATCGCTATACTTTTGTGAGACATAAGTGATCTAACTATAGCAGTGTACATCCAGTGTATAATGTACGGTTGCAGACGCCATCATCTTCCAAATAGTTTTTTACATGCATAGAATGCATTTATTCTTTATCATCCTTTCCTCCGTGTTCCTTTTCCAGAAAAGCTTCGAGTCCAGAATGATTCCTAAATATTTTGTTTCCTTTAAACATAGTTTAAAAATATACAATATGATCTATTAATCTAGCCACTGTATATTTCCGGATTTTCTGGGGCCTACACATCAGCTCTTACTTCGATCAAAAATTTAGTTATTTGGATTTGATGTTTAGTTTTTGTCGTTGGGGTTAAGATTTTAATTGCTCGTGTCATGTGTTACCATACGCTAAACAAATAAATTACTTCGCCAAAGATAAGGATCACAACATTGACCATATAAGGAAGAAGGATGAAACAAATTGGGCGCATCTTAATGAAATCCTAGAACTTCTTATGAAAAACCATTTTCGCTGATCTGTTATAGCAAACAGGAGAATAGAAGAATTGGTTAAATGAAATCAACATAAACTATTGACATGGCACTCTGTCAGTAAGGTGCTGAGTAAAGATAATATTAATAGGTATTGTAATATTCTCTTTTTTCTCTTCTATAGAAGCCCCGTATGAAAGTGAGCGAACTGTCGAGTTCTGAATTCAGTATTATATGAGTCAAAATTAGGGGAAAAGAGTCTACTATTATAAGCTGTACCTTGGTATAGTCCGCCCAACGAGCGGATCAGGATACATGACAGTGACAGTTGTGTCCGTCATTTTAATTAACAGATAAATTGTATTTTCTGTCATTTTTTAGATGTCGTCTGTCGAAATATTCCTTAAATTTGGACAGACTATACTCCGAAAGCGTGTAAGTGACTACTTACTGGGAGGGAATTCTTCTCCTTAACAAAAAATTATACTAGCACTCTTTTCAGGTTTAGCTGGGGACTGTTTACGGGGACTACAAGCTCGATGGAATTTTATTAGATTGATATACGAATCTATTCCGTCTGAATCTTATGAAACGACATGACGCGACGGTCTAATATTTCACAGTTAAAGATACTTATCTTTGTAAAATATAATGTAAAAGTACTTACTTCACTATTCCTATCGTTAGACAAAAAATGTCTAGCAACATGTTCCGGTAGAATATTCTTTAATAATTGCTTGTTATTCTGTTTTGTTTCTTCCATGTCAGTCAATTCCCTTTCAGCTTGCTGCTTCCATAAAAAATCTAACCGAGAAGTGACTTCTACCAATCGCGCATGATAAGCGACCATCAAACAGAAAACCACCAGCAATATCAACATCTGAGCTGACAAAGGAATTACTATTACGTCACTAAAAACAAAATTTGATATTGACAAGGAGAATTATCATTTTCCTGGTGCTTACCCAATAGCAATAGCATTTACGCTGTCAAAAATTGGTTTGTATGGTACCAAAATTAGAATCGTATAAATTCCAACCATAAGGCTCGCCATAAATAGCTTTACGAGGTAATACAATTTTAAAGCAGTCGCTAGCGCGATCATACATAATACCCAAGTAAAAACTATGTATTCTGGATGTCTACAAGTTACATCGCAAATGATTGTACTGTTCTGAGTACTAACATCAGTACTGTCTGTAGTTGCTTCTATCGACGATGTCGCCAAATCACGTTTGAAACGTTTAGATTTAAAGTTAACTAAATTATTAGTTTTATTATTGGTATGAGCTAGATGTGAATGATTAGTTGAGCATGTTACAGATTTTTCTATAGATTGGTGAGTTTTAGAGATTGCCGTTGAAATTGCCGACGTTTGAATTTGTTCCTTTACATTTTGGTCCCTTTTGGAGGAATTGGTGTCTTGATTATAAAATATTTGGCGTCCATCGTGCATTTTCTCTTGTACCATGTCTGGAATTTGAAATTACACGTTAATAAAGACGGTAAATATACCTTAAATAGCTATGATGAGTATCTTTCATTGATAAATATAGCAATATTCATTGATTCTATTAAAAAATAGTTGAAAAAAAATAAAACTACGCTAAAAAGTTTCAGTTCTTATAAGGATGTATTTAGAAATAGGTCCCTTTGGTGTTTCGTTTATTAACTATTCTAAATATAAAGTTTTCCCACTAAAAAAGTCGACTATTTATGAAATAATGTACAGTGATTATAGTTAAAAAACGGGGTATTATACAATCTTTTTTCGGCTTTGAATTAAACAGTTATGTTATAGGGCCAATTTAGGGGTTATACTGAATAATATATTTGAAAATATACCAAAGTTTAATTTCAATAAGAAAGAAATGTTCCAATTCTAGTCTACTGAAACCTCTTGGAATTTACAAAGAACGCTTAGAATTTGTGACAATAAATAAGGAATATAATTCTAAATCACGTAAATTTTATCTAATAAATAATAATCTAGATTTAGTTTGTATTTTATATCATGTAATTTATATCTAGAGTTGGCACATGTTTAAAGTTATGATACAGGAATTCTTGCAGACTTATACAATGTTATTGTAATGCAATTTTTTCGTTTCATTGGATATTTTGTTAGTGCAAAAGTGTAATTTTATTTCTTATTCTAATCCGTTTCATTTTGATTCTCGTTAACTTTAACAACGAACATTCTACAGTGTTCCCGGCTTGTCTTTACAAGAGGAAAAAAATACCTTTATTATTAACTTTATGAGAAAATTGAATTTTTTTTAAAAAAATCCTTGTTCTAAAATGGTTAATCCCGTTTATACTTATCCAAATTCCCATACCGTTTTAGAGTAAAATAAAAAAAATATGAAAATATGACCGAATTTTTTATTTATCATTCTTTGATCACGTTATTATTAATTTTAATTAACGTCATATTTTCTGCAGATATTAAAAATATGACGAGGCTCTCTTCAGTCCTTCACCCTACGTGAGAGTATGGTGACATCATGTGTTGATTCCCCTCACTTCCTCGAACCAAGTTGTTCGACACTGCGCCATATGTGAGGCTTCGGGGAGGTTGTAGCCCCCTAGGGTTTTGACTTGGTCTACCCACCTCTTAGGTGATCTTCCACGTGATCGTCTCCCCTCCAGCTTCCCCTCCACCATCGGTTTTTAAATTGAGGTGCCACTCTTGGCAATATAGTCAAAATATCGGATGATTGACTGATTCATTTTTCCTGGTAACCAGACGTGTCTCAATTTTTAGTTCCTCAATAATAGAAATAGTTGTTCGATGAGCCGTCAATGGTATTCGCAACAGTCGTCGATATACCCACATCTCCAAGGCGTTTATTCTTTGCTTATCACTTTCCTTTAGTGCCCATGTTTCAGAGCCATACATAGCTATAGGGAATATGAGGGAGTTTGCAATGCGCAGTTTAGTTTTTCGCGTAATTGCTGAAGTCATCCATATCTCAGTCACCTTTGTTGTTGCATTCCTCGCCATTGCCGCTCTGCGCTTGATTTCAGCCTCGCATCGTCCAGAGTTTGCTATCATGGAACCTAAATAGTTGAACTGGCTCACAACCCCGTATCCAGCCACGGTTCGGACATCAGGTTGGTTGTTGAGGAGGCGGTCAACAATAATCGTCTTGGTTTTCCGTTTGTTTAGTTCCAAACCATATTCTTCACTAATAGAGCACAGTGCAGCCATGACTTCCTGCAACTCTTCTTTGCTGGTAGCTATTATCACGGTATCATCCACGTATCTCAGGTTATTTATCCTCCTGTCGCCCACGGATATGACGAGGTAGTTATTAAAAATATGCGAACGAAATCTGAATTGAAATAATGCGAAATTCTGTATGAAGCTTAAAGCTTCATTCAGAACCTCGCAATTAGTGGTTTCAATTAGTGTAGAAGTTTGTTCCTCTAATTTGAATGTAAGCATGCAGATCGTCAAAATTAGTGGTAGGAATTTTCAATTAGTGGAAAAAGTTACAAAAGTTTTAACTTTTCCGCTAATTACTTGAAAATTTGCGAGGAATATCATATTGACCTTTGATTACCATCGGTCAAGAGAAAGTGTACTTAGAAATCAAAAGTTTATTGTTTTATAAGCTAAATATTAGGTTTTCCCTATGGATACAACTGATTACCTACCACGAGCTGTTGCTAGATAAAAAAAAACTAAAAAGTATAGTATACATTGTAAATGAAGCGAGGTTCTGAATGAAGCTTTAGGAAAAATCCAACCATATTTCATTTTTTTATCTCTAAAAGGTATAAAAATCTGAAAAAATATTGACGGGATTAATAATTTTAGAACAATTTTTTAATAAAGAATGCATTTTTCTCAAAATGTTTATAATAAAAAGGTTTTTCCTCTTGTATAGACAATCCGGGGATTTAGCGTATACGTATTATGGAACTGTGTATTAAATTAGTTAAAAGACTAAATCGACTTACAAATTCTACTGCCAATATCCCTTTTCTTCCTTTTCCTAAAACTACCAGTAACTCTAAAAGTTCCACTATTGTTCTTCCCTTGGTCCAAATTGACGACGGAGGCTGAGTCGTCAGAGATAAGGTTTTGAATCTTTCCCATAATCATCTTCATGCATTCCCCCGA